GCCTAACGCCAGCCATCAGCATGCAATATCTACACATAGCCTCAGACCAATGAGCTGTGGGTAACTCTGGCTAACAGTAAATCCTCTTTGCACAACACAGCCACTGCTCCACAGCGCCGCAGCGCAACTGGCCGGAGCGCAACAGGCCCTACCGCAACAGGCGGCGCAGGTTATGTTAGGTTTTGTGACTGAACGGCGCTGTTGTGGTGGGCGCTTTGTGTCAAAAGCCGTGAAGATGCCCGGCTGCGTTACGCTCGGGAAGGTATATGAATTGCACTGTGGACTTGGGCTATGCTGACCTCTAGCTATCCATTCGTACTAGAGACCGCAGTTAGTTTGAATCTTCGCATGAAGATTCGAAGAAAAGAGGAAGGTTGCCTACACCATTCCAAGATATGTTGGGAACTGTAGCCGGCTTAATAAAATTATGAATAAGGCAAACCCGAATAATACACTTCCAACTGGAAATATCTTGGTAGAGATATAAACTTTATACAAAAGCCTCTGATTGGTCAGTTAGCCGGATGGTTTTGATAATAGATTTTCATTATCAGTCTTGCGTACGCAAGATTTGATTATGCCAAATTAGGGTGTATCTAAGCCACACGTTTTTTTTGTGCGCAAGTATTGAAAGTTACGAAGTTTTGATAATCCGGCTCCAGATCGCCTTCGATCCTCGGACTTTCGTTCATGATTGGTGAACACGTCATTGGCTGACGCCTTCGTTTAATTTGGTCATGCGGGGGTCGCAAAATTTCACCTCTCGCCGCGCAATACCAATGCCAGCTACCGTCTACATTGATCATTATGTCACTGCTGGCAAACCGGTGCAGCCGCAAAGCCTCCTCCGCCCGCAACCAGCAGCGACGTCATGTTCCGTCATGCCTTGCAAAACCAATTCAGTCTGCAAAGTCTTCACAGGGCACGAGGCCCGCACGACTGCTGTGAGGGAGTAAGTTCTGAGCGTGAAAACGAAAAATATGCTTGTATAAACTGCTTGATGAATATAGCCTCGAGATAATTGTATAGTCATGCGGGACATGTGGGTATCCTATAGGAGAGCCTGTGAACAAGTAGTCCAGGAAAAATAAGGTTTGACCGGAACAAATTGCAAAAGAAATTATTTTTTCACCAAGGCTGCAGAAGGGCAATCGACACAACATGCTAAAAATCCTCTAAAATCCAATTAGTGGAAGAGTGTCAAATTTAAGATTTGAAAAAAATTACCACCGAATGGCAATATAAGCTCAATAACACATTTTAAAAATATGACCGACAGTTATTTATATGACTGTATGTATGTTTTCATGTAGAGGGTATTCACTAATAATAACTAAAATTCATCCAAGGTGGTAGCAATCTAGTATTTTCAAAAACAGCCACCCATAAAGTGAAAAATTGTGATTAAATATAGGCATGTGGAATAATGCCTATGATATATTCAGGCATGCACCTGGATTGTTTGCGTGTGTGATGCAGGGTGAGTGTGTGTATGTAACTGCACGAGAGAATAAGATTGACTGAGGCTGAAGGAATTCTGGGAGGACATTGGTGGGATTAATGACTTATTTTCGCCATCTGAGTGGCATAGATGAGGAAATTACAAATTGGGAAGTTAAGCGAGTGGTAGAGCGACTGAATAATAAAAAGCGTATGATCGGGTTGATGGAGAACTTCTGTGTCAAACACTGGGAAAAATTGGAATGAGTAAAAAATATGTGAGGCTTGTGAGAAGTATGTATGTGAATACTAGAGTAAAATATAGACTGGGGGATGTGGAGACGGACTGGGTGGGGAGCAGGAGGAGCATACGACAAGAATGCATCTTGTCGCTTCTCTTCCACCTCTGCACAGAAGAGATGGCCACGAGGGTGAGGGGAATAAATGTTGGTGTGCGTGTGGGCGGCGAAAGGCTAAAAATGCTTCTGTATGCTGATGATGCTGTGATTATTAGTAAAAATAGCGAAGAATTACAAAGTATGCTGGATTGGGTGACCGAGCATAGGAGTGACTTCTATGTGCAATTCAATGCAGCTATGAGCTAATTACTTAATGTGAATAGATCAGCTAATGCTATTGGCAGAGTGTGGATGTTGGGAAAGAATGAGATTGTTAGGACAAATGAGTCTATGTTCTTAGGGGTGTGTGTGGACCAGGAGGGATGTGAGAGAACAAGGGCCGCAAATTTAAATAAGATGAATCAATGGCTTGGTATTCTTGGAAGTTCAGCTTAAGTGAAAGCAAGTTAGTAGGAAGTATTTCGGGTAGTGCGGAAGCATGTTGAAGTTACTAGTATCATGTATGGATTAAATGTGAAAGCATATAGTGATTCTGAGCTGGATAAAGTGGAAATGGCAGCGAATAGAGTGGCAAGATTGGCACTAGGAGGTCCCTGGTGGAGTGAGGGGGAGGCCCTGAAAGAGAACATTGTATGGAGTATCAGTTTTGAGGTATAAAGTGACACCGGAGTGAATGGACGTTGAACGTTGGGCACGAAAGATATACATCATATACAGTATATGTGGAAAATAAGAGTGAGCAAATGGGCACGTAGACGTTGTGCATTGGTACGTAAGTGTGGTATGCATGAAACATGGGTGCGCCATGGACCCGCTGGGCCGAAGGACGAATGTGTGGTGACAGTACAGGGTGCGATCGGGATAGAGTGGAATGAAAAAGAGTGGAAAAGAGAAATAAATAAGCGAGTGAAAGATTATGGGCTTAAGGGGAGCGTCTGTCCCAAAAATTATCTCGGATATCAACAGACGGATCGATTCAAAATTTGGTACACGTATGTAAAACGGAATTTTGTTTTTTTTTTTTGTTCATGTGAATTTTTCGAAAAAAAATGAATGAAAACGTGAAATTCTTAGAAAACTGCCAAAACAGGGAGTACTCTAGAAATCCTAACTCCTCCTAGGATTTTCAAGCTACAACATCGAGACACATATCATTCGATGCGCAAAGACCATATCTAAAAACTGGTGGTGGGTGTTCTTTTTTTAATTTCTCCTTTTTGTGGGTGTGGGGGCACTTTTTCAAAATTTTCGAAATTTTTTTATTTTACATCCGCCCTCCCCCTTTTTTACAAAATATAATCCGAACTATAACGAACTTGGAAAAAGCCTACCACCAGTTTGTAGATCTTTTATTTGCAAATCGAACGGTATATGTCTCATTGATGTAGCTTCAAAACTCTAGGAGGAGATAGGTTTGCAGTGACAATAAGTTAACTTTTCAGTAGTCCCCGACAAAGTCGTGCGCGCCTCAAAAAAGACATTCATGGGTGCAAGGTTGCAAGACTAGACTATATTTGAGCTCAATTTCTGTCAAGGATGGTGTGAACGACGGCACGAGAACCATCCCATACGACTGCAGACGGATAACTGAAGCACAGCGTGTTCACACTAGCTATTTAAGTGTGCTACCAGTAATTTCGGCCCATCTTCAATGTTGAAGAACTCCACCACCCCTAACCCTTTCGTCATCTGTCGTGAACGCATTAATCAACGTACAGAGATGGTTCTGGTACCGTTAGATGCGTCAGAATATAAGCTTTAAGATGAGTATAAAAACCGAAAAAGACAAAATTATCGATTTTGGGGCAGACGCTCCCCTTAAGGTGTTAAATAATAATAACGGTTTCACCGTTTAGTAGGCCGTAGGCCTGTCGTCGATTCTTAACATCGCAGAACATTCACAGCATTTTGCGGTCTCGAACTCGAAACTCACTGCTACAATTCTGCTGTGCTTAACCGCCCGGCCTCCTTGCCGATTCTGACCAGAAACTGGCGCACAGAGCTGGGATCGAACACGCGCCTCTCTGTGCCAATCTTGGTACTCTGAACTTTAACCACTGGGCCACCCCAGTGGTTAAAGCTAGGAATGGAGAGATAGGACACTAAGACTGTATCAGATGAAAGCGATGCCAAAATATGAATGCATGTATTGATGGTTGTAGGGGAGGGGACTTGCTGCTTTGTGTGAGGGCAGGGGCGCTTAGTGTGAATGGTCGTACATACGTACAGGTGGAATGAGAGGAGGGAAGACAAAAGTGTGATGTGGATGAGAGAGAAACTGTGGAGCATTTGTTGTTGATGGAATGTGGGGCGTATGAGGGAGAGCATTAGTCTATGAAGGAAGTGATTCTGAATGAGGGAGGTGAGATTAACGAAGTGGGGTATGATAGAACAATTGAAGAGTGGATGTCAATGATTATGGGTTTGTCTGTGGGAACAACTGTAGCTATGTATGAGAATGAGAAAAGATATTTGGAAAACGTGTGGAGGTTTAGGGAGAGGAGGGGAATGGTAAGAGTGGGGTCTTCATGAGAGGAGGGTTGAGAGAGAGGAGGGTGGGAAGGCGAAGGTGACCGTGCCGAATGTTTTAGTACATTGTTTCTGTTTTTTTTAGGATGATGTCATGTATAAGCGAATGTTTTGGTCCTTAATGATTGTATTGAATACCAATTATTCAAACTTTTTGTTGACTGCCGATTGCGACGTGAAGTTTCAATTTTTTGCGATAGTAAAATATTTTTTATGCAGTGTGAATGACCGATCTAAAGGTCGTGACCGGAGGTCAGCACGCAGCCTTATTTCAACTCCTAATGTCGATAATCATTTCCATCTTCAATTTGGTCTTTATCGATTTCGATTTAACAAAGTTATGCGTGGAAAACCTGCAAATGCGTGGTACTTTTTAGCCATGACGCGGCACCAATAAACTGCATAATGAAAAGACCGCTCGGGCACTTTTTTTCAAACTCCTCAGCCTAAATAATAACTTTCAGAAATAATAACCTCAACTTATTTAGAATGTTGGAATAAGTTCATGAGTAAAGTTTAATTTTAATGTGTTCAGAATTTTTGAAGATACAGTATTGACATATTGTAAGTTTAACTAAAATAATTTGCTCGTGACTCAGCACAATTCTCAAACTTGGGTATGATTTCATGCTGTAGTGTCAGTAGCTTCATGAAAGCAAATAAGATTTTAAATTTTCTCTGTCAAACATTTTGCGCAGGGAAGTTTTCTTGTTTGAAAATAGCGTGTCGATCCTTGAACTCTGGTAACAATATTGGGCAAAAGAGCCTGTCATTGAAAATTGCATCTGAGCGAGTTGAGTTGTTAACGTTAGAGAGAATTTACTCCAAGTTTTGTTATGGTACGTAAATTGTCACTCATTTTTTGTGAAATATTTTCAGTAAGTCTTCTATGGCATTCATCGATATACGAGATTCATCCCCATAATTTATTGTTCATTAGTAATACTTAATCACAAAAAGTAGGGTTAAAAAAAGTGTTCATAACTTCATTCTGTTAACTTGGCTGATTCAAGGAGCTAAACAAACTGGGTATTGGGCATTTTAAATAATAATGGGCAATGAGCATAGTTGCTCACAGTGATGAACGAGAGGGTCTTCCTTTATTCTGTATTGACATGGTGACTAGCTGTGTGTTACATTTTAAATCTAGTTAAATGTCTATGAGTATAGCTATAGTATAGGTAACTCAGTAACTGTAGTAGTGAGTCCATGGTGGCAAACCAGTTACCAGTGATTTTTTAGAATAAGTTCATTTTTAATTTCCTCATTTACTCAAGATTTTAACAGATTTCTTATGTATGATAATTGATAATTCTGGTATCCAAGATACTTGACCAGTCTACTTATAGGAGTAGGACTCAAAAATGAACTTGAGGAAGAGTCTAAAAAATTCTCTGCTTTGCCACTATGATTACTGCATAGTGGCAAAGCAGAGAGTTTTTTAGACTCTCTTTCAAGTTCATTTCTGAGTCCTATAAGTAGACCAGTAAAGTATCCTGGATACCAGCATTATCATACATAAGAAATTGGTTTAAATCTTGAGTAAATGAGAAAAGCAAAAATAAGCTTTGTACAAAAATTGAAATTTGCTTAATTAAAAGCCTAATAGCTGTTAATTAAAACGTAATTAAGTAGTGTTCAATATTCGTTAGTGTTCCAATTAAAAGCCGTGTTGTATCCCAATACAGCTCACACAGCAAACGGAATTCAAACACGTGGATGTCGGCATTACATATCAGTTAAATTTGAAGCGCTGACGCAATACAACTCACCACGTGCCGAATATTGCCACACACCGTGTCGGAATATAGGGATTTGGTAGGTTTGCATTCTAAAGGCTTTTAAATAAATATGGCAACATTTTGTGACGTTTCATCGTTGCTGGCGCATAGTACGGTGTTTTGCAAGTCAAATAAAGCAAACAAAACTCGAGTAACGCATACGGTTATTTTTTTATAGTTTTTCATATCTCGATGCGTCCTTAATGTGTCGGAATATACCGCGTTTACCCTATTATAAATTTGGATGGAATAAAAAAGATTTTTGTTAAACCATTTTTTATTTTAAACTATTTTCCTATTAAATATGATAGAAAAACTTTGCAGTCAACCATTGCAATGCTCATTGCTATCAGTATCAGTTTTGAGATCTTATGTTCTTATTAATTTAGAAACAATCATTCACGTGCATGGTGTGATTGTGCTTTGTTAGAGACGAATCAGACTCTGATTTGTCTTTAACATTTGTTATAGTAGTGGAATTGTAGGATCATAGGTCATTATTGGTTTTTTGGCAAAGGGAGCCTGGTTTGGAGTCCAGGCCACACTCAGGATGATGTATGTTTTTGGTGAATTTTCCCGCGCATTTTCACTTTTTTTAAGCTATTGCTGTGCACAGTTGGCGCAATGTAATGAAAATTGATTATCTTCGCGCACGTGTTCGCGCAATCCCGGCCATCTTTATTTTAGAAGAAATTTTCTCCAAAGTCATATGGCAACGCTGAACACCGTCTGTTTACATTTCGTATGTATAATAGCCGCAGTTTACGATTACCGTACGTTCCGTATCCGACAAGGCGGACAACCGGAAGAGTCAGAAGTAACCCGGACATGTCTTACATTTTATTATTGTCAGTTCGACTCGCGTAGTCAATATACTCGCGTATATTGTTGACTAAAATAGTAGAACTATTTTAGCTTTCTAAAGTATGGTGCACGGCGCATTTTTTTTTACCAACGTAGTACGGTGCACCGCGCAGGTTGTTAAAATGACAAAATAAATTCCCACGCACCTGGCACATCTTCCTGACCATGGAGTCCAGGATTGGAATTTTCCTACCTGTTTCTGAAATCTTGTGGCCTGATCATGTACTTTTGTTTAACAAGTAGATATGAGATGGTGTAAACGCGGTATATTCCGACACACTGAGGATGCATCGAGAAATGAAAAACTATAAAAAAAACGTATGCGTTACGTAAGTTCTGTTGCCTTCACATGACTCTCAAAACACTTCACTACGCATCAGCAACGATTAAACGCCACAAAATGTTGCCATATTTATTTAAAAGCCTTTAGAATGGAAACCTACCAAATCCCTATATTCCGTCACTTTGTGTGGCAACATCCGACACGTGGTGNTCATATAAAAAAAGTGTTCTGCCTTAAAAAAAACGTTCTAGGCAACTAGAAGATATAGTGGCAAAGCAGAGAGTTTTTTAGACTCTTCCTCAAGTTCATTTTCGAGTCTTGTAAGTAGACCAGTAAAGTATCTTGGATACCAGAATTATCATACATAAGAAATCTGTTAAAATCTTGAGTAAATGAGGAAATTAAAAATGAACTGATCAGTTCTAAAAATCACTGGTTTGCCAGTTGCCACTATGCTAGAAACAGGTTTGCAGGCCTTCAGAAGTTGGCTTTGGTTACGGTAGCTATTAGCGTATGAACGTCAAGTCAAGGTCCCATGCAAGATTGTTAATTGCGCGCGTCACTCACAGTCACAGATGAGCAAGAGGGATGGATCTACAGAAGAAAATACTATTTACTCCCAACATAATAGTTTCAAATTATATTTAAAAAAACATTTATGGCACCTATTTGTTACCACAGCTTTCAAATTGAGGACAAACTCATCGGCAGTTGGAGAAACTTCTCGAAGAAAAGGCAATGCACAACAAACAACATGACACTTCACAGTTGACTGACTAGAATAGACTCAATAGTCAATAGAGTACTTGAAAGTCAAAAATTTAGCATTTAAACCTTTAGATTCTGTGAACCTTGTGATTTCTTCATTATTAAAACTTTAGAAGGCTCACAATATATCACGTAAAGTTTTCACTCTATTATCATCTCCAAGTTCGGGAGCTTTATCTGCAGTTAATTCAGTTACCTCACACACCGATTGCTTAACAAGAACTAACAAGTAAACAGTAAACACTAACCATCGTTCCCGACACTTTGGCTGTTGCACATGATTGATTCTGCATTTATAACATTTACGATTTACAAAGGTTATTAAACCATTCTGTTGAATGCCAGTTACTGATGAATTTGTAATATAGAAGAATTTGTATCTATCATTTTTTTCAAATGAGTATATTGATGGTTGGTGTCCCTGCGGCCTGCTACCTTCTTTGTTTATGTTTTTCGTTAAATTGGTAATCCTGATTGTAATGGTAGGAGTTTCCATGTCTCAGCTTATTGCATCGGTGGTCAGTTTTGAATTTGTTGATTGAATCATAGGCAGTTTTTCATGTATTTGTGAGTGAGTGTACATAGTGAAGATGTTATTATTTGCAATTTCCATCAATAATGACATAACTACACTATTGTATTACGCTCTTGAAATAAGAATTGTAGCATTACGCATTAAGTTAGCATCAGGGCATTAACATTGTGTGCATTTGAGGCAGTCCCTTCTAGCTTTCTATCGCTGGTTGGATTCCAGTGGCTGTGACGTTGCACACGTTCTAGGGATGATTGGATCCCTGTGACAGTACGTTGGACGCGTTCAAGCGTTGATTGGATTCTTGTGACTGTTACGTTGGACGTGTTCAAGCATTGATTGGATTCTTGTTACTGTGAAGCGCTGTTTTTTTTTTCAATGAAACAGCTGTGGCATCTTGCAGAGACTCATCAGTGATGATGATGGACTGAAAGTGGAAGTGTGCTGGACATTCCAGATTTTTGGGTCCTGCTTTCCAATTTGCTATGTATACCAGTTAATATATTACCCCTCTGGATTTCCACACTGCTGGCAAAGCAGAGACTTTTTTAGACATTCCTTCAAGTTCATTTTTGAGTCCTATAAGTAGACCAGTAAAGTATCATGGATACCATCATTATGATACATAAAAAATTGAGTTAAATCTAGAGAAAATTAGAAATGAACTGATTCTATAAAATCTGTGGTTACTGGTTTGTCACTATGGCCGTCTCCCTTGCCCTAATAATACCGGAATTACTAATACCTAACTAAGCCGGGGTGCAACCAGCATGGTAAAACTTCAGATTAAGTGCATCCAAAAAAACAGTGTTTTTTTTTTAATTATATGTTTTTGGGATGTAGATTAAGAATCTGAAATCCGTTTTTGGCAGTTGGCATCAGAAAACTGATTTTTTTCCTATTTTTTATACATTTTCTATAGAAAAACGACAATGGGGGACCCATGGGGAACCGGGGGTTTTAGGGGGGGGGGCATGCCTGAGGCTCTAATTCGTCAGAAAAAATCGGGCAAAATAGGCAAAAAATTGGAAAATTTTATTAACCTAACCTAGCACTATTTTTGGGTTTTACATAGGTTTACAGTCATTTCCAGATCAATATAGATCATTTCCAGTCAAAAAAAAATTATCCAAATTTTCACCAATTTTGCTTATTTTTAATTTTTTTTTATGAATTAGAGCCTCAGGCATGTCCCCCCCCCCTAAAACCCCCAGGTCCCCACGGGTCCCCCATTGTCGTTTTCTATAGAAAATATATTAAAAATGGGGAAAAAATTGGTTTTCCGATGCTGACCGCCAAAAATGGATTTCAGATTCTTAATCTACACCCCAAAAATCATATAATTAAAAAAAAACACCCTTATTTTGGATGCACTTAATCTAAAGTGAACCCACCAGCATTGCCAAGATATGAATTTTTAGCCTAAAGTATTGCCAGCCATTTTCAAGATCCGTTGCTGGGTAATTTTTAATAAGAAAGTGCTGCATGCAACTTTGATAGTATATCCCTTACTCTCCATGCACTGCAACACTTCCACACATTGCAACTGATTTCCTGGCAAGCTTAACTGCATCCTGATCCATCTGGTGTACCGTAAAATAGGGTAACTTA